AATTTTCAAATTATTTATTTAATATTATCTATCTAAATTAGTACACCCTCCGTCTTATATAATTTATCTTTTTTTTTTATTTTTTTTTGTTTCACGTAACTTGTCATTTTTATTTTTGAAAATATAATTACGTACTTTAATCATATTTTAAAATTTAAATTTTATAATTTTCTCAATTTTAATTAAACTATTTATTTATTTTAATTTTAATTTATAATTATTTTTACTAATATATTTTTTAATTACTTAATAATTTTACTTTATTGCAATTTTCGGATTATTGTTACTCAGTGATCAAGAACAGCTGTTAGAATTGCGCTTCCCCCTTTTCTTGCAAGAGAGGTCCTTTTCACTTTGGCTGATGTCTGATATATGACGACGACGATGACGATGATATCAGTTTTTAACTTTTCTTTTTATCTTCTTTTTTGCAAATGCAGAATTATGTATCGTTTTTTCTCCATTTGTCTTTCTGCTCACAATCATTAATTAATTACTGTTAGTGTATATAATTGTAGTGAGTTCATTCATTCATTCATCACTTCCTATCCCTATTTTGAAACTTCTTCCATTTGCTTTTGTGCCCTTTTCCCATTTCTTGCAATCTTGTCTTGTGTGTAATAATAATAATATATATATATAGAGAGAGAGAGAGAGAGAGAAAGAGAGAGATATGAATTGGATGTTTTGTGGCAAGATTACTTGGCTCTCTCTCTTCATTGCTTTGGTTTTCTCTCTCAAAGTTCATGGTAAGTGCTGATTCCTTTCAACATTCTTGGCAACAACAAATTATATTTCCAAATGTGTGGCATGCATTTCTCTAGAGTGAGAGGGTGTATTTTATGGGTTTGGATCTTGATTTAGGATTTAAATATGTTTTGAATGTAAATGTGATTTTTAATATAATTATAAAAAAAATAAAAATTAAGTAAAGAGTAGAAATTTTTCAAAATCTGCCAAACAAATAGATGATATTTCTAAAGTTTGTTTCATTCAATTGATTTGAAATAAATGGATTGTTTGAATTTATATTTTAAATAATACTGTATTATTTTGATTCGATATTTTATAAATAAAAAAACAATTTATTTAATTATTGATAAAAAAAACACGAGGTGAATAGTAGTGATTTACATTTAAAATTTTAACCGTACAAACCCTTATCGGTGTGTTTATTTGTGAGATTTTGGTTTTGAATAGTACTTTCTCCATTCAATTTCTATTGTTCTAAAGTATATCTGCACGATTTTTTAAGTGATTGTCTTTTTGTTATGAATTGACAAATTTATCCTTGTATGATTGAGATTAAAAGTAATAAATGAATTAAGAGTAAAAATGTAAAATTTGTGTTTAAAAAAAAAATAGGACAATAGTGGTTGGACGTTCCAAATAGAAAATTAGGACATTAGTTTGTCGACAGAGGGAGTAAAATTTTGAATTTTGATTTGATATTTTTGGGAAGAAAAAAATTGGAATAGTAAAACCAAAATCAAAATCAAAATTGCACAAGTAAACACCTATGTTTGGATACTAATTTGAAATTAATATTTTTTTTTTAAAAAAAAAACACTCCTATATTTTTATAAAAGAATGTGAAAATTGGATGGTTAATTAAAATTTTTTTAAAAATCATCAAAAGAACAACTGGTAATTGGTTTAACTATATGCTTTTATTATTATTTTTTTCTAATTTTTTTTATTATATTTATATAATAATAATTGAAAAAAAAAAGAAAAAAAAAAAAGCATGCTTATGTAACCCTTTTTATATAGGAGTTAATACTTAGATTATCTACTCTCTTTACAATTTGAATTTAATTGTCCTTTTTTTATAACTTGTAAAATTTATAAATACTATTATAATTAATCAATTATCAATATTACAGAAGAAACCATTAAACTAGTAATAGTACTAAGGGGGTGTTTGTACGGACAGAAAATTGACAGCAAATAAATGTAAATAATTATTTGAATCAAATAAGTAAAATTTAACAAATAAATTATTTTTTTTTTTCTTTTTTCTTTTTTTGATATAAATGAATATTGCAGTATTTTTATTTATTTATTTATTATACTATTTAATTTTTATAATTTTAAAATTATATACTATATTATTTCAATTTTACAAAAAATATATTTAATTTATTATTTAAGTAGTTAATTTTTACAATTTATAAAAAAAAAAAAAGAAAAATTGTACTAAAATACTATGATCTTACAAAAAATACTATATATAATTTATAATATTTTCATAAATTTTCATTCGTTAAAATTTTATCTAAAATTCTCATTAACCGTTGATTTTTTTTTTTTTTTTCTGTAATTTCATTCTCTATTGTCATATCTCGTTTCTCTGCTCTTTGATATTCTTACATGCTAGGCAGACAACTACCGGAACCCGCTGCCGTTGTCGGAGCCGATCTGGTAACACACAAACAACCTCTTACTTTCCTCAGCATCGGTCTAAATTTTAGCTAAGATTAATGTAAAAATGAATAATAATAATAATTTTTTTTATAATATAAAAATGTAATAATTTTTTTTTTAAAAAAATGAAATATTTTTCAATAATAATTATAATAATAATAAAATGAATATAAATTTGAACGAGGAAGGAATAATAATGATTATATGGATAATGTAAAATTAATTAATTAATTATTCAAGATTGCAGTGGAGAGATGAAGAGATGAAGATGAAGAGAAATAGAGTAATGATTGGGTCGAAGCCACCAAAGTGCAGTGAGAGATGCAAAAGATGTGGGCAGTGTGAGGCAGTTCAAATCCCAATTAAAAAAACATTAACCTTCGATCATAATATTAACAAAATAATTAATCCAAAATTCCACAAAAATAAGAAAATAATTAATAATTATAATTATAATTATAATTATTACAGAGGAGATGACAATATCTCAAACTATAAGCCCATTTCTTGGAAGTGCAAATGTGGGGATTTCTTTTTCAACCCTTGGTAGAATAAGACGTAGAGTTATTAATAAAAATATTATACTCGCTCTATAATCTTGTTGCTCTATAATCTTGTTGTATTTGGTACGAGATTTAAGAAATATTGATATTTTTGCCCTTGTGAGTGTATTAGTGTAAAAAGTAGTGACAATTATGTAATAATAATAAAAAAATAAGGATAATTTTTTAGTGATATGGTTATTTATGAAAATGAGACTATTTTTTTGAAACGGATAAAAATGATAAACAAAATTATTGTATTGGGATGGAGGAAGTATTTCATTTATTTCAATATATTTATAATTATTTTAAATTTACAATCATTAGAAAACCAACAAAAATGTTTTTCTTGTATGTTTGTAATTTGATATTTCCCCTCCGTCTCATATCTATTTATCCATTTATTTTTGCACATAATTTTAAAAATATTAGTATTATATTTGGATGTAGTAGAAATAAAGATAAAAAGATTAAACTATCCTTATTAGTATTGTATGATATAAAAGTAATGGTATTTGCGTAATATATTGTAAATTGAAAATATATTTGTAATATTAGGTAGAGATAGTGCAGTAATTAAAAAGAAAAAAAAAATACTTCCTCCGTCCCTTAACAATATATTCATTTTTCTATTTTGGTTCGTCCCGTAACAATCTATCCATTTTTTCCATTTTGGTTTATCCCATAACAAAGTATACATTTCCTTTTTTAGTAATTATACTATCTACCTAACATTACAAATACTCTTCCAATTTACAATATATTACACAAATGTCATTACATTTATATCATACAATACTAATAGGGTTAATTTAGTCTTTTTACATTTATTTCTACTTTATCCAAATATAATACTAATATTTCTAAAACTCGCAAATAGATATATAGATATGGAATGGAGTGAATACTTTGTTATGAGACGAATTAAAATGGAAAAATTGATAAATTGTTAAGGGACTGGGAGTGAATATGAAAAAAGTCATAACTTGTTTCGTAATATTTGATATAAATAGAAATTGATGTGATGTTTTGAATGTAAAATAAATTTGTAGTATAATGTAAAAAGAGAAAAATAATTTTTTGATATGATATTTTTGAAGAAAAAAAAAATTCATAAGAGTAAAAATATGTGGTAAAACCCACAAAAGAATGAAGCCTAAAGTTGTTTTCTTTTTTTTTTTTTACAACAAAAATCGATAGGAAGAGCTGTGCCCGGCCCAGATTTTCAGGCCCATTCTAAAACTAAATCATAACTACATGATACAAATTTTAATTGAACCAGATAAGTTTGGCCCGTTAGAATCGGGCTGGCCCAAAGTATCTCTAAAAATCTTATTCGATTTCGATTATTCCGTTCATTTCAATTCGGTTTAAAATCAAATTTATAAATTTTGATTTAGTTTCGAAAATATATAATTATAATTACTAAAAATATGTTATAATTTTTTAAATTTATTTTTAAAATACTAAAAATTGATTATTTTTTATATTATAAAATAATTATAAAAAATATTTGTTGTTGAATTAATAATATATAACACATAATTTTAACAAAAAAAAAATGACAATATAGTAATAAATATGATCTTATACTATTACTATATTGAAAATAGGGTCATGAACATGAGATTAAAATTAATAAATTTTAGTTTTAATAAGAATAAAATTGATTGAAAAATTTCAATACGATGAAAATTGAATATTTGTATTGAAAAATAATTTTTGCTCAGAACAATCCAATCTTTTATCATTATTCATTAACAGACAGTCAATTTATTTTTTTAAAGTAATATCACATCAAATATATATATATATTTATTTATAAAATATTAAATTAAAAATAATTTTTTTTGTTTTTACTAATTTAAAAATTTTACAAATTTCCAAAACTCCGTAACTTTTCCAGCAACATGGGATGGGGGTTGGAAATCCACAGAGACACCACCTGTCAACAAAAATTTAATGCTCAAAATTGAAATCCCAGTGTAGTGATGGAGCCACGCATTAAATATGATTTTACCTCGAACTACCTACCAACAATGGCAGCTCCTCTCAAATCCAAGCCTCCATTTATGGCTCTCTCTGTCTGAACGTACGTACGTACGTACGCACATTATCTGTTTCTCTAGCTGCCCTTTCTCCGACTATTTTGTGTCCACTCATTTTCACCCTCTCTCTATCTTCAATCTCTTTACAATTTCACAGAGTATTGTAAGTGATTTAAGTTCATTAGCTGATCCTGCAAATTTTGTTTGATTTTGATGAAGAAAGACACAATTTTCATTTATCTATTTTTTTGAATTTTGGTTTGCAGATAAGGTGTTCGATAAATTGCCGCACTAAAATATATATATATCGATTGTTTGATAGATAGATACAAGAATATATATATATATATAGGAAGGATGTTGAAGCATTTTCCGAGCAGGAATCAGAGGTCGGCATCATTATCAACGTCGAAAAGTGTGAAATTTAAAAAGGGGATTCAAATATTTGTGGTTATTGGGGTAGGGATATGGTTGCTCTACCAAGTGAGGCAATTATACAATGGTAGGGTGGGTGGAATGGAGGAGAGACGGCGGCCGGCGGTGGCCGGAAACATCGATAAGGTGTTGAAAATCGGGAGGAAGGATTTGAACGACGAGAAGCGCGGCGACGGGGAATTGGTGGAGTCGGAGGAAGAGGAAGCGAATGACGAAATGGATAAGGAAAGGGCCGAGGAAGGCGAGAACGAGCAATTTCAAGACTTCATCGACGAAGAAGATAAGGATCAAAGACGACGACGACGACGATGATGATAATGAAGTTTGTTTAGGATATGAGAGAAGATTTTGTCGTAATTAAGCTGTTGAATAAGTTAAAAGCTGATGATGTCGTAAATTTGTTAGAATGTTTATGAATAAGTAAAAGTGGCTTTGTAATTATGAATGAATGATTTGAATTTGTATCACAAATCTTGTTAGTCTTTATTATTATAAGTTTAGTTGGATTTGATTGTGTATTTTAAAATGTCAACTAAATTAATTTGGATTTGGAGTATATTTTACTCTAATTAAAAGTTCATATTTTTGTTACATAGAATATTTAAAATGATATGTATAAAAAAGTATTTGAAAAATTATATACTTCTACAACTAATTTGAAATTTGGAAATTAATAACATTTTTAAATGAAATTAATACATTTTATTGAGTAATTTAAAATATTTTTAGCCCAAGTCATTCTAACCAAATGCATTCAGAGAAATTGGTAACATATTGACACTTCATGGCTTAAGAGTTTTAAGGTTTAATCATGGCCGAGTTTCACTTACATTTTATTAACAAATTGTATTTTTTAAAAATAAATAAATAAATATATTAAATGAAACGTATCTTAGTAGTAAAAGAAATAATAGGAAATATAGATTGAATCTTTTGTATTGTTTTTTTTTTTTTTTTTGTATTTGTTTTAGGTTTCTATTTTAAATTTTTTAGAAGATATGATAGTGGAATAATAAATACTTGATGTAACATATTTAACAGATATAATAAAAAAAAATACACAATTTTTAAAAATAATAAAATATAAAATAAAAGAATATATTTGTTTAGTGTTTAAATTCTACACAAATTTTCAAAAAAAAAATAACATAAAATAAAATAATACTCCCTCCGTCCCACATAATTTGTCCCTATTTTTTATTTTTCATCCGTCCCACATAATTTGTCCTTTCCTTTTTTAGAAAATTAATTATACACTTTAATCATATTATAAAATTTAAAATTTAAATTTTTTTTTTAATCTTAATTAAACTATTTAGTTATCTTAATCTTAATCTATAATTATTTTTACTAATATATTTCTTAATTACTTACTAATTATACTTTACCTAAATTCCCGTGTCTACAGTAATACACGTATATTACATTTCATGGGACGGAGGGAGTATGTTACTGTAAGGAGTACATAATATACACATCAAAATCAATAAAAATAGATCTCATTAATTATCTCTTTCATAACATACATTTACAATTATGTGCACATAGATACCCTAAAAAATGGTGCAATATACTTCTTAATTTAGATTGAGTTTGATTGATGGTTTGAATTTTTTATTTAAATATTTTATTAATCTCTCAAAATTATGTTAATATTATTTTTAATCTTTCAAATTCATATACATTTTATTTATAATAAATTATTTTATTCACTCATAATTTTATTATTTTTTATGTAATTTAAATTTGTGAAAGAATCATATATATACTTTTTATTATTATTATTTAAATGTGGAGTGTATTCTTATTTTAACAAAAAATATTAATATATTGTGCGGAATTCGCATCAAAAAATTCTCTTCAATTATCTCACAAAACAAACATTCCCATTATGTTCAAATAATAAAATATATAATATAAAATTTATTTAAAAAGAATCTAATGTGTTATTTTATGGGAGAAAAAAATTATTTTTATCAGAAAATTGCAGAATACTCTATGAAATGAAATGAAAATGGCGAACTTGAAAGACAAGTAGGAAGTATTTACAGGTAGAATTTTATACTTTTCTCCCTAGACAAAAACTTTTTATTGCCTACACAAACTAAACCCACCCTTAACACTCACTCTCTATGCCGAAAAGCGGAATCGAACTGAATCGAATCGGATAGCACTTACAACGTTCTGTCGCGCTGCTCCGAACGCCATCGACACTTGCAGCCTGTTATGGTTTCCGTTGCCAGCCATTCGCTCGCTTATTCTATTTTTGGTGCACCAGGCTCAGAAGGAAATCTGTGAATATATGCTCGTATTCCGGCAATTTACCATAGCCTAGGAGGAATCGGATCGTTATTTGAATACTAGGGGAAAATAAGAGCAGAGCAGAGCAAGGCAGTCGGATGATACCTGGAAAGTAGTTGATATCGATCACATAATATTGGTCTTGTGTCCCATGCTCGCGAAGTATGTCCAAGTTGAATAGCCGAAGACCCTATTTCGAGATCATCGAAGCAGCAAAAATAAGTTTTACATTTTCTTTAATGGCGCGAAAATATTGTTGTTGAGAATGGACAAATATGAAATTTCGTACCAATCGTCGCCTAAGTTCCCGAGCAAGTTTCTCGAGCAATGGTCTTGGAGGAAGCTCTGTAGCAAAAACATAATTGAAAGATAAGAATACTAAAAATCTACACGATTCCTGATTAACACTAAAAAAATATATATACACAATATATACACACTCATACAGTATATAATACGGCGGCGGCTACGACCACACACTGTCAGTAATAATACAGACAGCACACCGTATGCAATCATATAATACAAATATAACACATAGCATAGTATCATGCAATATACACAAACGTTGATTTTAAAACATCACATACTGTACAAAACACTTGTAACCATAACCGTTCCCATATAATATATATATTCTATTCATACATAAAAATACTAGCGATCAAAAACTAAAAATACTAAACAAACACGCTCATAAACGCTCACAAATTAAAACAAAACCGGAATAAACATATTGAGGGGAACCAAAGGCAGAGTTGTGGAATTACAAAACATTTATGCAGTAAAATGGCAATTTGATAAAATAAAATGAACTCACCGGCGACATGAGGATCCAAGTCCGCATCGTCAGCCGAAGCAGCAGCACAAGATACTCTTGGGAAGCGATAAACGCCAGCATTCTTCGAAAGTTCGCGCTTGCTGACATCGGGCAAGGAAAATCGTCTCACGACCTTTATTGCCTCCCCTACAATGTATACTTTGAAGAGCACACCTCCTAGGACGAAAAAACAATTGAAACATATAAATACAAACTTTTTTGGGTATTTAAATCAAAATCGATACAAACAATGTACTCGTACCATGGTTGATGAATTCCTGCAAAACAAGCGGCGGTTCGAGCTTCTGGAGGGAGATCTTGTCGTAGGCGAGAGATAGCTCGTGGGACTTCGCAACCAAAGGTTTCGCCACTGATGAAAATTGATATGACATTAATATGCAGTGGAACGCACCGGTGTGTCGACTATATTCAAAATGCAATTGATATAGCATCGAGAAATGGGAAAATGGTTTTCACAACAAATCGGAAATTGTAATTTAGAAGTAGATATAAGGTGTACCTATCGGTAGCCTCAAGCCAGCCTTATTGACAGCATCGGGAATAGTGGATGGGTCCTTTTCGATAACAAGCTGTTTAGGGACATCTACTTTTCCTGCACACCAAACATGTGTAATAATCAATACATCGATTATTATGTTCACATTTCTGCAGCTAATGGGAATTATATCAATGTGGCCAAAACTAAGCACAAAATATCACAAAACGAATTTCGGAAAATTGAATTCATATCAAGATTACCATGCGGGCATGACAGATTAAGGTCAGCAACGTCACGAAGCATGGACTGTCGATTGCGAACTTGCTGTATGGCATCAGGAGGATCAAGAACAGTGACTTCAGGGTGCGTGCTCCGGTAATCCTTCAAAGTGTTTAAAGAGGATAATAATATAGAAATTTTCAAAATCACTCGAATCTCAAGTAGACATAACAAATCTAAATTTGCGGGCAGCTGCACCTAAACCCGAACGAATCTAAATTTTCGTCCACAGTGCAGGAGTACCAATAAAAAGGAACATATTTATGTAAGTCGAGCATATTGCTCTTGCAAATTTTGTAAGATTCGGATAATTCAATAGATTTAGTCCCCATTGGGTAAAAGCTACCATAAGAAATGTCCTATTCATGTCACCAATGAAGTATTGAGCTGAAATGCCCAACCAACCTCAAGAACTCGGCGCCAATCCTTTCCTGATAGCTGCATGACAAATTTAAAAACAATCGACAAATGAATCAGTATGATGATAACCGGCAAACAGAAAAAAGGGTTGGTGACGCACAAACAACTCACCTTGTGCAACACAATGTCAAAAGGACCTTGATCCGAGAGGGGCCTAATCGGATCAATAGCTACAAACATTATCCCCTTGTTCCTGCATCGGGAATAACTCAATCAATTGAAAATTCTCCGTGTTAGGAACTGACCGGCAAAAAATTACTAATTAATAATGTCGTCAATAGTATGACGTTATCCAATGAATATATACGGCATAAATAACATCAACACATTCCATTTTTCCACCTGAATCCTAAACAATACATCGTCATCATATACACATAATTGTAATTTTGACAAATCGAAATTTGTCCAAATACCAAAAGCAAGTAACTGAAAATTTTGAAGAATCGAAACCTCCTTTGTCCTTATCATCAAAGAATGAGAAAACTATGCCACGACGGATTCGACAAAATACGAAAAGCATGACTACATCCAGCCTACAGATCCCTTTCCCCAATTGCAGGTCGAAAACAATTCAATTAACTTCGGAAACGAACAAATCCAACTAAAATATCAAATCCTCACATAGAGTCAATCCCTAAACTCAATTCCCACCTCAATTGAGCAGACAAAAACATTTGTCCAATGGAAAGTGACACAATCTGTTCTCAACCACAAACACATTCCTTTCAGGTTCACTTGAATTTTTCGTAAGCAACACCACAGACACTGTAGTCCATGAAGAATTACATCAATGGCGGATTTCGAAATTCGAATCTCAAGCATACCCCCACGGAAGTGTTCACAATAGCAAAAGACAAAAAAAAGGAATGCAACAACGATGCAGAAATCACAGAACAACACTGTAAACATATAATCGAAGAATTCGACGACGAAAACGAAAAAATCGACTGAAATTCGTAAGGAATGGAGAACGAGCAATTTACCTAGCCAAGCGTTCGAACTTCGGCTGCAAAAAGCTCTTCACCTTCTTCGAAGTAAGAGCGTAACCGACGACCACCATTTTCTTCGGCGACGCAAACCCTCCGACCGCCGTCGCCGCCGGTTTCCCTCCCTCCACCGCGTCCCAACTTTCCTCGTCGCCGCACGCAGCTTCGCCTCTCATCCTAACCCCTATCCGCACCGTTCGATTGTGCTCAATATATGTATATATGCATGTGCGTTCGCACTGTCGCAATTCGCGCACAAAATCCAGTCCGGCGATTCCCTAAATTGCGAAATCGCTTCTCCTCAATTTGTTAAATTCCGTCTTCTCTGTCAATTCCACCGAAATAGGATCGGCAGATCTTCCTCGCCAAAATGCACCGCCTGGATTCGGTTGAAATACTGACCCAATTAAACAGAGATTTTTACAGATGAGCGAATCAATTGAAACAGAAAAGGAGAGATGTAGAGAGAGAAGGAGAGAGAGAGAGACACCGAAGATTGTGCATGTGGCCGTTTCTGTATATACATACATACATACATACATATATATATATATATATACACACACGCGTATGGACAGATATAGAGAGAGAGAGAGAAAATCAGAAATGTGAGCTGTAGAGTGTACTCTGAATTTCACCGCGTGCACTAATGGTTTCCCTCTCTCTCTCTCTCTCTACCTATACATACATCTGTATGTATCGAATTAGGGACTTCAGAACTACCGGCGCGCAGAATCAAACCACCATTTTCAAAATTCAACTGTGAGAGAGAAAAAGATCACAGAGAACAACGAAATTCGACATGATTATCATTTATCACTCAAAAAAAATCTTCCCCAAGTGGATTTAGGCAAAATTGTATAAAACTGCACCTTGATCACAGAAAAGCATCTCCAATCCAACACATTCTCATTCCCTAATCTCCATTGCATCAATCATCTCAGGATAATGAAGAATTTGGGAGTGAACGATTCTCCTCTCAACTAATCCTCTTCCAGAATTGATCCCTTCTTCACCACTCCGAATCTATCGCCAGGAATCCTGAATCAACTTGTCGGCTCGAATCTTCCATCACATATATATATATTGTATATATTGATTTTCTTCTCCACAAGAACAGGATCAAATGGGATTTATATTTAAAGAACTATCCCCACGTTTGTTCAACAGTGAATTGAATTAAATAACACTGTGGATCAAGAATTCAAGATCAATATTTTTTAATATTTTTTTTAAATAAATAAATTTGTTGTCAGTGGCAATCCAATTGTAATGGGCACAAAGAACAGTATTTTATTACGAAAACTGTCACACAATCAAAGTGAATATACTTTTCCCATTAAAGTAATCGCATTTCTTTTGTTAATCATTCTTGCGAGACTTAAACAAATAATTTCCCCCGATATGTTTGAATCTCATTAGTTATTGTAAACATTAGTCAAATTAATCCTTACCATATAAAACAAACAACCCCATTTGTGTTAATTCAAGTCTTTCAATCCGGATTTAGATAGAGAATTTTGAAATTTAAAAAAATAAAAAATAAAAAATAAAAAAATCTGAAAATAATACTCCCTATTTTCCAAAAGTACAGTCTTATTGCGTTTGCTACTATATTTAAGAAATATTAATATTATATTTAGTTGTTAAAAAGTAAGGATAAATGACTTTTTTGCCTTTGTGAGTATATTAGTGTAGAAAATAGTGACAATTGTGTAATAATAATAAAAAAGTATGAGTAATTTTATAATGATTGGTTATTTATGAAAATGAGACTATTGTTTTGGACCGGACAAAAATGTTAAATAAGACTATTGTATTGGGACGAATGGAGTAAATTTTATTGACATAGATACTTTTAAAAGTTTTTGTATTACTAACATTAATTTAGGGTGTGTTTGTTTGGGGGTTTGAATTTTTTGTTGGGATTTGAATAGTTGTATGATATGATATAAATAGGTGTTGATGTGATGTTTTGAATGTAAAATTGATTTTTATATTAATATAAAAAATGAAAAATAAGTGTTTGATTTGATATTTTTGAAAAAAAAATAAAATGAACAGTAAAAATCTAATCCAATCTCCAGACAAACACACCCTTAAAATAAATATATATATATATATATACTCCATCAAGATGTAGATTTTGTGTCCATTTGACCGGGTCAACGTACGATGACCCGCCTATATTGTATTATAAGATAGTATATTTTGAATTATAATATAATATTATAATATATTATAAATAGACTTAAATATATATAAATATATATTGGTCCCTTTCATAACTATGTTGATTTGATTAAATCAGCACAATGTTAAACTTGACCGAATGAGATCCATGTACATATATCAAATATTTAATTTTTTTACATATGTACATAGAACTTATCTTTCATCTATCAAATGAGTTTAATTTTAACTGTTCTAATCAACATGTAAAAAATAGACGGACAACCTATGATCTCAATTAATACATTATACATAAACAATTCTAACAAGATGAGATCAATATTGTTGGATTAAAAATTGGTAACTATTTGGGTTACCGCGTCTTATATTAAGTGATTTATTAATTTATTAGGCTTAAATATATTTAGTAAATACGGGTTTTCTATGTGCAGAAATTCGATAACTTATTAATTGGGTGATTGACCAATTAATAATAAAAGATATAAATTAGGATTGTGATCTCAGGTGTTTAGACGCAATAACTATTACTTTTCATATCTCATCGTGAGAGTAAAGCAACAACTCTGACTTGAAGAACACAAAATCCTCCATTATTTACAGATCCGAATTCAGATCCGAATCCGACAACGCTAAGAATCTGATTAGACTTATTTGCTTTATTTTTTTATTTTAATTATTTAAACACGACAGATCCTATTGTCATATATTACTTGTTTATGTGTTGTATTTATTTTATATTTATATAAATATTGTTTTAACGAAATTCATATATATATATATATATATATATATAATATATAGACAATTGTAGAAAGGAAGATAGTGTGCTTTAAAATAAGAGCCAATTGTAGGGTGAAATTAATGGATGTGGATCATTCCTTTTAGGGCATTTGAATGAGCTCAAACATCTTTATTTTGTTGGATTCCATCTATTTCTTTTCATAGCAATCAAAAATTAAAATTAAAAAAAAAAAATTAAATTAAAATAAAATAAAATATTTACTAGAAAGTCAATTAATTAAGATTGGAGTCCCAGATTCCCACTATATATATATATATATGATACTCCCTCCGTTCCACATAATTTGTCCCTATTTTTTATTTTTGTCTGTCCCACATAACTTGTCATTTCTATTTTTGGAAATATAATTGTACATTTTAATCGCATTTTAAATCTTAAATTTTATAATTTTCTTAATTTTAATTAAACTATTTACTTATCTTAATTTTAATCTATAATTATTTTTACTAAATAATAATTATTTTTACTAATATATTTCTTAATTACTTACTAATTATACTTTACCTAAATTTCTGTGTCTACGGCAATACACCCATATTACATAGGACGGAGGAAATATATCATATATATTCAATAAAATTAAAGAATAACAAATAATATCTGATGGGGTTTACCAGTGCACACTTTTAGATAGCGGCTGCAAATTTTTACATTATTAAAAAAATTAAAAAAAATTAAAAAAAAAAAACAAGGAACGGAGTGTGTGGGACTCACTTCCTCCCACTAAATATAATTGATCTAAAAGGCATGATTTTAATTGCAGAATATATAAAATCTTTCAATAATGGAGCATATATACAAACCAACATGTGTATATATATATTAATTTAAAATTGAGTGTTAACTATTTAAATAATATTTTAATTTAATACTTTTATAAAAAAAAAAAATGTATTTTTATTTAAAATTTTAGATAGTAAATAATTTTGATTTTAATTTAAATTAAAAATAAAATAAAACAAATCGCGAACCCTATAATCTCATAATTTTATTATCACGAGTTCAATCAAAACTAACAATCCATCCCTTATAGAACTCTCTATAATAGTTGGATACAAAGTTTTGAATAATAAAAAATTAAATTTAAATATTTCTTTTTAATAATATAAATATATATTGATAGTAAAATTTTGATCAAAAAATTACAAGAAAACACAAATGTTTTTTTTTTTTTTTTCATGAAACTTTTACTATTTAATTTAATTTTATTTTTTTTCAAAAACATTGAAGTCAATATAATTTTTCTAAAATACTATGTGTAACAATTATCCTTCAATTTCAATTCTGGGTTGTTATATTGGTCTATATCTTAAATTCATATTTTTATTATTCAAACTCATACTATTATAATAAAATATATATATTATATTATCTTATAACATATAATATTAAAATATTCTTTAAAAAATATTTAATAAAAAATTAAATTCAAACAGAAGCCACAATACACAAAATTGTGTGGCTTTAAATTAGCATTGGACTGTATAATTTAAATTAAATCCCACATTCCACATAAAAAGGCACATTCAACTTTTACTTCACATTCCAAAATAATTCAAAATATTCAAATTATTTTGGGTCTTTACTCTTTTTCTTTTTTTTTTTTTTTTTCAATTATTATTCACAATTTTTTTAATAAAAATATATTGGGTATTTTTGTTTAGCATTTTGATTTGGAAATCTTTTTCATACGATGATATAGATAATCGTGTCAATAATATAAAAAATAATATTTTATATTGAATTTTAACTTTTACATAAAGATAAATATATATTCATATATATATATATATATATTGGGTGAACAAACTAATTGTTTTTTCTTATACTCTCTTTATCCGTCTTCAAGTGTTATATTTATCTTTTACATTATTGTATTTAATATTAAAAATATTTTTATATTTGTATAATATTATGTACAAATATCTTTTTATTAGTAGTATTATAAGACACCAATGAAAGTATTTTTGTAATTTTTTTTTAATTTATACTATATTTTGATATAATAATTAATAATATTTAAAAAATAAATGAAACGTTTAAAACGAAACGGAGATAGGATTAAATATTATGTTCAAGTCATTATTTAAACCAAAATGTAAGACAGATCAAACAAATAAACAAGCCTTATATTTATTCACTTAATTTTAGCTTTTATTCAATGTATATTTTTGCTTTTTTAATTTTGACACGTTTTTTTATGTAGTATAATTTGTTCTTTTTTGGTTTTTTATTATTATTTTACAATTTTATTCTTACTTTGTGTTTAATAGTATTTTATAAATTATATTTTCTCCGTCCATAAATTAACGTTCTACTTTGCTATTTGAGATGTTCAATAACTATTGTCTTTTTTTTTTAAACACAAAAATTTATATTTTTACCATTCATTCATTTATTACTCTTAATCTTTATCATACAATTAAGGAAAAATTTGTCAATTCATAATAAAAATATAATCACCTAAAAAACTGTGCAAATATACTTTAGGACAATAGAAATTTGAAGAAAGTATGTTAAAGTAAAAGAGGAAAAGACATCTACATAAATAAAGATTTTTTTTCAATATGGGACATTCTAAATAATAGTTCTCGACAACATGTGGTCGAATTGGTACCATGAATGAACTTATGACTGAACTTACGTCCGCAAGATTATTTCAAATCCTGCCTATGTCCTTATAATCAACCTTGTCGCTTAGGGTGTGTTTGTTTGGGGAATTGGATTGGATTTATACTATTCACTTCATTTTTTTCCCCCAAAAAATATCAAATCAAACACCTATTTTTCATTTTTTATATTATAGTAAAAATCAATTTTACATTCAAAACATCACATCAACACCTATTTATATCACATCATACAGCTATTCAAATTCAAAATTTTTACTATTCAAATCCCAACTCAAAATCCAAACCCCCAAACAAACACACCCTAATGTAATTTGCAGGTTATTGACATTAAACCTAAGATTTAACTAGTGCATTCGAAAAGTAACGATTACAAATTTGTACATGTAAAATTAACATATGAAGGGAGATGTATTGAAATAATTGAGGCCCAAAATAATGGGAGATTTTATTTATTTATTTTTATGTATGGTTCATCATATGTGATATGATATTTGCA